CAATATAGTTTGCCTTTAAACGTGAAATATACAGACTATGAACAAAGCTTTCAACATTTGATAATGTCCTCCATAGATAATGAACATTTAGCTGATATTATTGCTTCAATGGTTTCAAGTTCCAACTTCATAATATGAAGTGAATCATGCACAGGAGTACCATTGAATAGAGAAATCACATCGAAACTCGTTATCACTTCATCTTCTTCAATAGTAATGTCCATCGCTTTCCGCCTAAACCTCTGTCTCTCCTTGATGCAGGAAGGAATAATGTACTGAAGCGATTTCAGTGTTCTGGATGTGTATTTCGACAGCGTGCATGTTAGTGAATTAATGAAGTGGACGATATATCTTGAATGGAGGATGAGTTCTGTGAATCTCCAGGCTCCCATTTAGTTTGTCGGTTGACTTCATTTCAGGAGCAATTGAGAGGCAAGTAGGATTTCACCGTTTTGGTTGGAGGTCTGAAAGTAGACTGCATATCTCTGCTCACATTTTCTTCCTAGTGCTAGTCATTCTGTTGGCTGACACCAAGGAGTATGACCTTCACTAAATATGTTCGATGGCCTCTATGCAGTGATCTTCTCTATTGATAATGAGAGTGACATCCCTTTTCACCTGTAGTAATGTCAGTAGATTTGTCCAAACTTACAGATTGTATTGCGTGCTATCTTTCTTTTGACACAATTTTCTTTCATTGTCTTCGACTCGACCAGAAACATTCCCACTCAAATCATTGGCTTCATATCAGGTAAAAGGATGAATAATTTTGAATTAGTTGTGTTCTCTCCGCCTCCAGCTGATTTAATTGACAACTTTTCGTCGTCCCTCCAGACAACATTTTCAGCGGAGATTTCAGTATAATAAAATGAACTTCTTATTTAAATTCTCCATGTATGATGCAATTGTATGTATGCCCTGTCAACCACCATCGTGATTGGTTGTTAATTTGCGTCTCTATTTATCCTTTTCATTAACCGCGAAATTCGAACTTTCTTGTTATGTGATTTACTTTTTATTAGCTGGTATATTCAGTTTATGGTAGTGTGTCTGTTAATTGTTGATTCACTTGTGTACCAGACTTTTATGGATTGACTGGCATTTTTGATGTTTGTTCTGCTTGAAATTTCTACATTACCCCAATAAAACTTCGTAAATAATTGGGTGAATAATGGTTGAGTGACAGGTGCTGATCCCTTTGTTTTATCAGTGGTTTCGTGGCTGTTTCAGTATGTGAGGCCTTCCAAAGCAGTACCACTTTGTGCAGATAGGTTTGTAAATGTGGATTATTAAAGAATAACACCACAGGTGTCCAATACAACACCGATAATTGAGTAAATGTTTGCCGAATTGGATGCGCAGCGTTGGTGAAAAAAATACTCAGTGAGACGGTTTCAACTGAACTGAACTTCGTGTTCTCTTCTTTCTGGTGAGAAATTTCTTTCGAATTTGGATAATAATCAGTGTTAAATGCAGATTCACAGGTTGAAGTATTCAAGTGTCTTACATGAATTTCTTAATCACCTTGGGATTTGAGGTTAAAGTGTGTGATTGTTTATCAAGTATTATTTGCAATTATGTAATTAATAATGACCACGTGAAAATGTTGGAATTAATCGTCGTCATTCAGTGTGTTATCAGTGATGCTTCATTAACAATATACATTCAGATTGATTCGAACCGTCACTTTTATTCACGAACCACACATCACCATAAACATACGCAAATACTGACTTCCCATCAACCGTCAACTAGTTCCGAATTGAAGTGGAGCAACATTACACAAGTTACAAAGAGTTCAGCCTACCTCAACAAAATTGGAATGTCCATCTGTCTAAACATTCCCATTGAGTCACATGAAAAGGAGAAGATGTTCAGTGAATTAACAGTGGGTTAATGAGGTGTAGAAATTAAATCGGGTGGGGCTAAAGAACAAGAGGGTTGAAAACGTAAAATATTACATTTGAAAATACAAAATAATAGTAATGAAGAGACAGAAGAGAGAAAGAGTGGAATTTGCCTGTCGGGTATTAAGAAAGTTTACGTCCATTGCAAGTGTAGTGATTGAATGAACTTCTTCTGTCTGCAGAGTTGAGGACTATGCAAGTGAATTGCCATTGCTTCCGCAATGACCAACGCTCAATCTCTAGTCATTTATGTTACATCCTCCAACTTATTTGCTCATCTTAAGTTCTAATTTAAATGCCAATATTCTCCACCCTACCTCTGTTGCTACCTTGACATAAGTTGAAACATTTTAGTCAATTACATTACACCATCTAACTGACTAACTCAGCCTTACTTTGGTTGCTGTCTAATTAACGTTTTTTCTAAATTGGATCATTTTTGTACTACCTAACTGATTATCTGAACGTGACAAACCTCATGTGCACACAGACACACACACAGATAGTTATATATAAATTCGATTGTACAGCTATGTGAATGAATTCTCCGGCGGAAAAAGGTCACTTCGCTGAATGTCTTCGTTTTTTTGATATGTCCATCTGAGTTTATATTGCTACTGTTGTTTTTCCTGTGACTTCGTACTCTTCTCAATTCTAGTATTATCTTCTCTTGGTATTGTAACAACGCGCACCAGAACGCAGAAACCACTAAACACACTACTGTCACTCGTGGAATTCTCATTCTCATTACTGCATCTCATCCAGTCATATGATTGCTCAAATGGAGCGAAGTAGGGTTGTGTTGACTCTCGTGATCACAGTCACTATTTTGTGGTCCCTCAGTTATATCATCGAACGAAATCTTCTCCGATCTGTACAGATTGACTCAGCTGTCCCAATAACGAATATCGAATCACTTCTTTCAAAACTATCACCACTTCCTGTCCACTGGAATCACACTACCAAAACCAAATGGTCATATGTTTCATCGGGAATGGGAAAGCATGAGAACAAATTGACGCTGGACTTTGATGAGAAATATCTGGAGAAACTGTATGATTATCAACGAAAGGGCAAGTCAGTCGTAAGTTGATTTATTCAGAGTACATATTGTTACCATATTTTGATGAATGACTTCATGCATCATTTCCATCTCATCAGGCTGTGTGACATGGTGAAATGTAATAATCGGTTAGTGAGTGGATTGTCTTCACTCAAACCACTGACAAACAGCATATTGGTTACAGAATTTCATCATGATTCGACATCACCAAGAGAACCAATGGAAAACCTGAGAGTACTGGACAGTTGTTCCGTCGGCCTAGTTCGCAACTTTTCATCAGTACGCACTCACCGGAATTCCAACCCAGTACCTCTTGGTTACAAAGCGAGCTCTCATATCGCTGTGAATTCATCTCGGCCACTGATCCAAATCCTCATATCATATTTACGAGATAATGAAGGTCTTTTCGATCAGGTCTCATTCCGCCATGTCCACTGCTTCAAGAGGGCCTAGGAATCGAAGAACACTGAATATCCGTTGAGTTTTGATCTGAGATTACTCCAGATCGCATAACAACGACCACCAAATGAAGACTAAGACCAGATGATCCAGAATCACTAAAATAGTTAAGATACTTCAAACCACAGGTATCACCACCCTTCTCCTGCTTATATCTCAAGGCTTATACTCCACGTCTGATCCTCTGTGATATAAATGTGTTGGTCGTTTGAATTCGTTCATAACCAGCAGGCCATTAGTCATGTGAATTTTTCACGAAGACTTCTGTCCTGCATAAAATCGGAGATGTCATATTCACAATATCAGTGAGGAGATAAAACAGATGGGACAATGGAGGATTCGAAGAAGAACACTAATAATAATAACAATGATAGCCTGTAGACAACATTGTGTATGTTTTGGATGCATTAACGGCGTGTCAAAATGGAGGTGAATATGAGGCGAAATGAGACATATTTGTACAACGATAGGAGTACTTCACAAGTATAAAGCGTATTACGTTTATGTGTTATGAAAGGAATGATAATCTAGTCAAACTGTGAATTGCACACCAGTCGCTGTCAGGTCGGAGCAATAATCTCGTTTATCTCCGATTAACGCATCTTGGAATGCGCTCGTTTCACCCTGAATAACACTTCTTGTTAACCTGTCCAAAAATGACATCTAGTTTGTATTTATGTGTGTTGGTACATCCTGGATTCTTTCAAGTGTTTATTCACTTCCGTTGATTTCGATGATCATATGCTCACCTCGAAAGCTTCGTCAAAATGTGGCCTTCTGCGAATCACTTCATCGTGCATATTGATTCACTGACCTCCCAACAGAAATGTTTCGTGAATTGATGATTAGCACAATCCGACTACAGAATACGTGTATGGATGAATAGTTAGCATACTACTTGCTCTGTCGATATGCCACATACCATACCACCCTCAAGAGTCGTGATATGCTTAATCACCCGGTTGATCAGCACACCACCTAATTTGTCAGTGCTGATAACAAGACACAAATGAAAACGACTCAGTTATCTGTCAATGTGTCCTGATGAGGAGTGACATACCAAAATGCAACGGGAGTTGAGATTATTTTGGTGGAGTGTCTTTCGAACTCATCCGACCTCTGTGGCTGATCAACAGACACTGAGCATATGTGTGTGACCAGCAAAAGTGATTAGTGCGAAACGGCGTCCGAGGTTGTCTGGATGCTTCACCATCAAATCAACACTGATCACCACCTTACACTACCATATGCAGACTGGACGTCGATTGAGTTGATGTAAACAGTTGATTCGTTTTCCGATCTCATAATCTTGACCAAAAGTTTATTTTCGTGTCGTGGATTGTGCACTACAAATAATACATGAGGAATAAAATATAACATTCGTCGCTAAGCTCAATTTCAATATGTGTCATATTATTATTATTCTGTATCAATTTCAGGTGAAGAAGAAAATTATCGTGCATTATGGACAATATCCGATAAACACGATTAGCAACTACACTTCGTGTTATGCTTGTGAATGTGAACTGTCATATGACAGAGCCAGATGGCGAGAGGCTGATATCATCATCCTAACAGATGAAAATTATCCTCGAGGTGAAAGACCACCGAATCAGTTGTGGTTTATTTTTATACATGAGCCACCTCATAAAGTGAAACTGTCAAATGATTTGGGTGACAGAGTAAGTAAGTTATAACTCCTCAATAATTGATGTCATGCAATGTGTCAAGCGTTCTCTCAAACATTCATCTCAACTTACTCACTCTCATAACTCGAGCAGTCTGTGGTGGGAATATTTTCTCTGTTTCTATTCCAGCTATCATCCTGTTGTTGATATGAGATCAACGCACAGATCAACAACACCAGTCTTAGATAGTTCAATGCAGACACTGATTACTTTCTAGGCAGTAGCCGACTAAGATACATGTGTAATGATGAATTTCGCCAGCCACGTTTACAATGTGGACATCAGGCTGAGTGACTCACTGTGAATTGTGTACGATTCGAATTGTGATGCAACTACCTTCGAAAGGCGTGCACACCTTGGTGACGACTGGCAGTAAAAGCCTGACCCTAGTCTGAAAGCTTCGTGCCAATCACATCCAACTAGCTAATGGAATAATGTATGATAAGTTTTGAAGACAGTGGATATCTAGAAGTTCCACTTGTCTATGGTTTCTCCGAATTCGTAAAACTTTGACACATAAATAATTAGCACTTCACTTATATGACTTTTCTGGTCCTTCGATAAAATACTCATCTGCGAAACCTTCTGAAATATCTACAAATCTTCACTTTGTATCCATTCGGATGAAATAATAATATAAATACCGTGTGAGTGAGACGAATAATTATTTACTGTTCTTATGAAGTTTTAGAATGAGTAGCAGAGATAACTGCTCGAAATAAACATTGATTTTCATTCGACTGGTTACTTGAATTATGGCGACGAGACAGACTTGTATGTCCTGTGTCCCTCTCATTCGTAGTACAGTTAGGAAGCTTGGACAATCTAAAGAACTGTCGGTTACAAGCGAATATGTCCATGTCATCTCGCAATGAGTTGTGAGTAGTGTAAATGTATGACGAGTTAAGGACACACTGCATATTATTTGAGGTCGATAAAAATACGTGGGACGGCAAAACTCACAATGGAATCTCTTAAACCATCAGAGGAATTACATAGCCACCATCAGGAGTAACTTCAGTTTGAAGAGACATGACTTACACAGATGGGATGCAGCTGAAATGTTGTGATAATTTCCTAAAGTGAAGTGGTTAAGAGGTTGTGCTTTCTTTCTGTCAGATGTCTTTAATGATGTCATCAACTTCTTGGAGTTTGGATGAAAGCATCTGTGTATATCTTGCCCCTATATTGGAATCCAATGCGAGCGGAATTCGGGCGTTGATCTGAGGGCAACATGGAGGAGACAGTGTAAAGAGGAGATGAAATATTCTGGACAGTCGTGTAACCAATCAGAGAGGATTGAAGAGAATGCAAAGACACAGAGATGTGTTGTTGAAGCCCGCCCTATGTTTCAATCTGAATTCACACGTCAACGTTAGCGGATAAATGTCGTGTTAGTTATCCACTATGGATTGAACCAGTCAGAGTATATTTTCTCATGAAATACGAATACACTGATTCGAGGTGAAAGTGACAAACAGTCTCACCACTTGTTTTTCGTTATTACTGTGATTATTATAAGATTTCATCATAAATAATACCAGTCCTTCACTAGACAATCAATATAAAGTTAACAAACACTCGTGCTCATCATTCTGCTTTCAGGTGAACTACACAATCACTTATCGATGGGATTCATCAGTCTTCTTGCCGTACCACAACTATAAGCCATTTGACCCAAGTCATTCATGGGAGACAAGATATCCACTGCCTTCTCGTAATTATGCTATCGGGAAGACTAAAATGGCTGCATGGTTCGTCACCAACTGCTTCGCTCGCAGTCAAGAAAGGAATATGTGGAGGAGTTGTCGAAGCATTTTGAGGTGAGTAGCATCATCATTATTTGCAGCAAATGTGGTTCATTGAATATTTTGTGGTCTCATTAGGCGTTGACATGACAGTCACATACATACTGCTTATGACCACTCTCGATGGGTCACTTCAAGATGACAGAGACACTCTTCTGAGAAGTGTCAGTGGATGCGAAAGTTAGAAAGTCGGAGAAATCATGATGGTTGTCTCCAGTGGAAATGGGGAGCTAGCTGGGAAATTCCGCTCCAGATGACTAATGAAAGCTTCATAATCAAACCGTCCATTTAGGTGAACACCACTGGAATAAGAAGACGAATGTGTTGAGAAAGTCATCATGAATCAGTCCATCCCTCTCTCTTCATATTCAGCTAATAATTGAGATGAAATTTATTGTGGAATTATTTTCATATTGTCTTAGGTGAAAAATATTTATTTTCTATCAACACATTCGAACAAACAGACGACTGAATTCGAATTTAGTGGAAAATTGGAATTGGTGCATGCAGCAGATGAAAAGTAAATGACTCAGTGAAGAGTCTCCTTTTTCAACGAATTTATTCCCAAACTGTTCAGTCGTATATATCCTTATGATTCCTATTAACAGTATTGTATTGTTGATTGTAACGAAAAATAATAGGTCCTGTAATTTACAGAATAGTTTATGCAGTGTGTGAATGTCAGTGAGGAGGTCTAGAGATGATGAGATTAGTGAGCAGATGAAAGACTGTGCAACCAGGTGAGAACTATGTCGAGTGGAACCTACACAACCCGCGGTCATTCGAAGCTTCAGTGATATAGATGAGTTGAATACATAATGGATTTGTCCAAGAGAGAGATGGTACTGGGAGACTATTCTGTGTGGTCAAGAAGAGATGGGAGAAGAAGAAGCCCTGTTACAGCCGCAATTTCTGGGAATCCGGTCGACGCTGGACACCCTAATACTACAGCCTCCTGCTTCACAGTTATCCACAGAGCAAACGCTGGCCACCTGAATTCACCATCTGTAGGACTCATCTGTATCACTGAAGCTTCGATCATCGAAGTAGGAAAACCAGATCTTTGTGTAGGGAAGAAGCATATTTACAACCACTCCTTCTCTCATGGTCTTAATCCGTCCATTCTGAAGTCTGTCTGTCCTTAGTCATACTCTGGTTGTGTCTGATTTTCCTTATGTTCATCCAATCTCTGCACCCATGCCTCATCATCATGTCGGTTGTTATTACGAGTTTCACTTTCAACAATTTCCGTCATTATCTTACTTATAACCGGTGTTTACTTACTTCAATATTGCTTTCTTTGCAATGTTGTCTTATCAAAATTCACGCCTCGTTGAGTCATGTTTTTATTGTCCACTAATCCTATTATTTGTAGACCTCCTCATTCAGATTCACGCACTTCATGAACCACTCTGTAAATTGCCTAACCGACTGTTTATCGTCACAATTCACTTTATTATTAGTAGTAGTAAAAGTTACGGAGGCTAATACGATTTTACGTCTTGGAATTTGATTTGTTTGAAACAGACTCTTTGCTGAATTTGATTAAGAATTTGAAATGCTTGTGAAGTGGAGTTGTTTAGCATCTACCCAAAACATGCAATACTCTTTCGTCTATGTTATACATTTTAGTGTCATTGTTTTGGAATGGAAGTTCTAAACTGCCAAGTTAACGATATTTTGAGGTGACATTTCAGTAGAATTCAGCTTCTCAGTTCATAGAATACAGATTAAAACTTAGCGTGTTGCCCCCCACTGGTACCTGTTTCGATCACATTTCCATTTTCACTGCTTCATATTCAAAGAATATACAAGATACCAGATGACACACTGAGTTCGTTTCATAAATCCACATAACTGAAAGATGAAAGGTGAAATTTGTGAGGAAGTATGTCAGATCACATTTGCCACACTTCGAAAAATTATGCCATATTTGTGGACAAATAACCACTGGTAACACTGGTATTACCTAATGCTGATGCATTTTCAATCCAACTCTCTACCACTCACTACTGTCCCTGGTTCTCTTCGACCTCATACACTTCACATTTAGAAAGCGTGTACTCCTCATCATGTTTGAAAGCAGCTGAGATCACATCTGCGGCGATGTTCATGCATAATACTGCGAAATCTCACCAACCTCACATTTCTGTTAACTCTCTCTCGTTACTCTTTTCTCTCTCTGCATGGAGTGTGTCAACTCGAAATGCTGCACATCTGTGCGACTTCCAATGTTGAAACTTTTACTAAATTTAGATGTAGAATATCAGCTGTCTTCAACTCTGTTCCCACAGTAGGCTGGGTGTCGTACAAGATTTCTTTATTTCGAGTAATTCCTCCCAGCTTGAGCAAGTGTTTGGTTAACTCTTCTTCCAGTCGGCGGGATATGAGACTTTCATCGGAATATTCAATATACAAGACCTTCACAGATATTTGTTGTGATGATTTCACTGTCATGCATACACAGGTATGAAATAAGGCATGGTTGCAGTTTACACAGTTATAGAAGAGGAAGAAGGATAAGAAGAGGCGAAAGTGGCAATCCTCTACTGGTTCTGTCCATCGGTGACTCACTTTGATTTATGTCCAGATTATTCACCACATTTAATGTACACATTGAGCAGAGTGAAAGCGACACGAAGAGAACGATTTCGCTCACTTCTGCTCATTGCAAACCAAACTGTAGCTTTGACCATCCAAAATAAAGCATGGTGTAAATAATTACACACTATTTCTATCTGTAGATTGATATCTATGGAGAATGTGGTACAAAGCAATGTCCCAGAACTATCGAATCTGAGTGTTACAAACTTCTCGAGAAAGACTACAAATTCTATCTGAGCTTCGAGAACAGTTTATGTCCGGATTACGTAACAGAGAAGATTTTCAGAAATGCTTACAGGTAGGTGAAATGAAGGTGATATATATATATATACTTGTCCCACACACAGTTCTTAATACTTATTTCTCCCATGTTATATGAAATGAAATTAGGAATTTCCACAATACGGGTTATTGATGAGTGGCATAAGTGTTGAGTGAAGTTACGAGGAGTGTGAAAGAGAGATGAGTGGATTATGATGCCACGTCAGGTTTATTATAGAAGAGCTGAAGTAATCGATTCAGGAGAGAGAATACACTGAATGTGACAGCATCGAACAGTCAGTCAGTCGGTCAGTCTCTTGTATATTCCTCACACGAGGAGTGATACAATACGAGGCTGGAAGTCTGGTGAGTACGTCAGTCAGTCAGTCATCTCCACAGTTGACTGATTGTTGAGTAGTCAATTAGTAGGCCAACTATCTCTCTTTGAGATGAGACGAGGTGACTTCCCTACACTCATCATAATACATTTTGCATGTATATCAATACACCGTAAGATTACGGACAACAGCATGATTCTGCTGAATAACTGAGTCACTTCGATTTTGAATACTTGCTCACTCAATCCCACCGAAGTACCTACTAAATCAAACTTCTCAATATGAGAACTGAGACAATGTATCGACCAGTCTGACTGTAGTGCATCACCGAATATGGAGGAAATGACCATGTCACCTTGTTTTCACCGATGTACTTCAATTAATCCATTTGTCTTTCTATCACTGTCTAGCGTTGATTGCTCTCATTCATCTGATCCGAACAACAATAATAATATTGATAATAAACTGTTTTTGTGTTGTTTCTCCATCTGTCACAGTCACAATATAGTTCCCATCGTTATGGGTGCATCGATTGAAGAGTACAAACGTGTCTCACCTCCACATTCATTTATCCACGTGGATGAATTTGAATCACCTGCAAAACTTGCTGAATATTTGAAGTATCTGGACCACAACGATACTGCATACAATGAATACTTTGCATGGCGTGAACACGGAGTTATAGATGACTGGATGCCTCGACCTGAGTGTCTCCTGTGTCTATTCGCTCATGTCCGCAACCACCTTGAGCAACACTCAATACCGAATGTTTCTCGATGGTGGAATGATGCTTGTTTCGGTCGAAAATTGCGTTGGAATCCTGACGGTATTTGAAGCATTTTCGTCTTGTGTCACTTGTCAATGTATCTGTCTATGAAAACTTTCTTTTCATAACGTCAACCTATTTTGGCACATTGTGTTGACTTTAGTGATTTGTGTAAATACAGGGAAATAAAGTATAATGTTTCGATATCAGTTTTTGTTATTCTTATTAGGTTGTTTTACAGTGAATGAATATATCCAGATGGTACTTTGTAGGAGGGATTTGACTGGTTTCATATCAGGCGAATTATGTCTGACCTCAATTAGAGAACCACTGAAATTCATGTTTCGTCCTAGTTTGAGAAATCAGGTGGCAGTCGCGCTATGTATATCGTGAACTGATTGGCTGTACGATTCCTTCCTACTGAATGGGTGGATAATCAACGCGCTCCACTCGTGTCTTTGAGGTTACGGATTTGATCCCTGATAGTGGAATCTGTACGCACCACTGGGATAGTCTCATAGTGAGACGAAATGGCTGTTCTGTACTTTCTACTCTCCAGTGTCTGTCTAACTGAGGCCAGTTCATCATCAATCTTGTGTTTGTCACGTGCTTTCCTTTCAAGACAGACACCAGATGATAGATATCATTTCATCTTCGAAGCTTCGTGGATTTTTGTGACGTATACAAGAGACATTAACAGACAGTAGGTACTTCTGCTGGTGAATGTTAGTAGAACAGATATTTTCAGTCGTATGAGATGACAGATGAATATTTACTCTCTCTCTCTCTCACACACTCTCTGCCCATTTTTGCATTACACTGCACTGAGTTCGCCAACGAAGTAGTTGAACATCTGTTTAGCTGCATTATCCCACACTTTTACCCGTTTTCACGATATTTTTGACCACTCTTATATTCAAAATATCCTCTGTTAAGAAGAAGACATAGTTTCATAAAGTGAGTTATTTGTGGTCGTGTGAATCTTCTTTGAATATGTCATATCTCGGAAATGATGAATCAAACGATACTTGTGAAAGAGTTTCAATGAGGACTGTTCCCTAGGAGGAAGAAAATCAGAGGCCACACGATGCGTAATCCGCCATTTATATATCAATGATATCTTGGAGATATTAACCAAATAACTTTGCTAATTTCAAGATCGAGTAGTGTCAAATATATCAGAGTAAAATATCTCACGATGACTGGAATATCCAACCAGGCAACACAGGGACTTTATCCACGCTCACACGTGAACATGTACCTATATGGATGGGTCAAGGAGTAACCACATGCGTAAATAGTGTAGTCATAGCCCTCTTGGTAGATACTGAACACTCAATAAAACCAGAGCAGTCGTTCTCGGTAATCTATCAAGAACAGCTTGACTACGTCGTATAACCGTGGCTGAAATAGCAGCCATCAATACCAAAAGACCGGGTCTTTGTATGCAGAAGGTGTTTGTTCAGCCTCTACGTGTACCTTCGGCCTACAATATGGCCAACAAATCCTCCATAAACATCATCGCTTTAAATTCAATCGCATTTTTGCTTTTTCTCTTCTTCTTTTCTTGTCCTTTGTATCACTGACAAACTTTCATCTCTGACCTTCTGCGACTTCATTACTTTATCAAAATAATATTTTACCCATAATGGAATTACACTTTACCACAGTGTACAAGTTCTCATCTCATTTGTTTCCTTACGATTTCTATTGCCTTAGATTTAAGTAATGCCGTAATGTCGTAAAGCCGACAAGGTTAATCTCTGAGAGATATGATATAATTCGGTTATGAGCGATTAATTGATTGCTGATTATGATTGATATGATTATGAGCAGTAACTTGTGCTCGAAACATCATCCATTTGTGAGTACTGCATCGTTGTGTGATAACTTAAAGTAAACCTATCTAATATGAAATTATCTCTGAGAGAGTTGGTTGATCTAAGTGCCACTGTTGTTCCAGCCTCTACCATACGTTATTTATACAACAGTATTACAGAAGCTTACCATTCTAAATTAAGAAAAATAATGGCATCAAATTCTACCACAGTGCACAATCGATGTACTCACAGTAATCACATGTGGTATTGAGATTTTTGTATACACAGCGTGGGTTTGAGCTTTTGTATAGCTAGCGCCTCGGTGATATTGAAGCAGAAATCCTTCGCAAACGCCTCTCAAAATCGCTGAGGAAAACATACTTCGCCGCTAGCCTACGACTGAAGTTTTCCTGCAAAAAACTGTTCAGCCAGAACGCGAAAGACAAGCTGTCGCATTGGGCCACCTCAACGTGCATATACCAGTTTACTTGCTCTTGTGGAGCTGAGTACGTTGGCTGTACTATCCGCCGACTCGAAAAACGCGCTCGTGAACACTATCCAGTCTGGCTAGTAAAAGGAGAACGAAAACGGGTAAATAGTTCGGTGACAGAATATCTGGTTAATTTAGGACATTCAGCGCTACTCGAAAAATCCCTCAAAATCATGTACAAGATTCGATCAAACATATCAAAGGGAGTAAAATCAAGTATTGAGATTTGCTTCCTTCTCAATGTCAAAATCAAAAGACACATGCCTTATTCCACAGCTAGGAACTGGCTTCACATACTGGATGGTATTGTGTAGGAAGCAGACGGAGAGTACACGCATACTCACACGAATAGCTACCGTATAAATAAACCTTACAACCAATAGAATTACGAAAATAATATTTAACGATTTAATAACCTCCCATCTGCACGCGGAGGTTCAAGTGTCATTGTTGTACTTACAAAATAAAACTAGGGATTCAAATGAACATGGCAACATTTCTCTTCTGTGAGATGTCTATTCGAAATTTCAGAGATCGTTTACTGAATGAAGAATATTCTTTTCGATAACTTATCATCAGGTTCTACAGTTATTATTATTGTTCCCTTGGGTTACTAATGGAACATGGGGCTTCAACTCCACGTTTCCACTTGCTTCTCTCTTCTGCTGTACTTTTCACGAGCATCCATGGTAGTTCATGCTCTTTCAACTCCTCTTCACACCATCTCCTCCATGTCACCCACCATCGCACTGACGTCCCACTCGATGCTTCCCTTTCGGGTTCCACTCGAGCAATGGCTCGACGAGCGCGCCATGTCACCCAGCCGCCTCTTCAGCCAGTTTCCAATCTATCTCCACTTTCTTCTGCATGCTTGTTAGGCGATTGCTTCTTGCTTTGTTTTGCTACTTCCCATAGTTTCCTATAGTTGATGATTCTTTCCGGCCCGGACATCTCATCTTCATTCAGTATAGAGCGATAGTTCACAGTTAGTTGTTGAAGGAAGAAGGTCTGAAATAGCCAGCCTGTTGGAAATATTCTTTGTGACCCGTCCGCCCGCGCACCAAGTTTCTCATCCGATCCCTATAGAAGAAGTGACTGACTTGATGTTGTTTGTATTGAAAATCCAACCGACCAAATTTTGTTGTTGATTCTGGCTGAGTGACGACGATTTCCACATTGGTTTCAGGCTGATGATTTTGATATGTTCTCGCCTTCCCGATGATTCTCGCTCGATTTGACATCGTCGTCCGTTCCGACTAGCTGTAGTTGAGACAATGCTCCCTAGCTAGATAAGTGAATGAATAAAGTAACTTCTTTCAAATCCCTCCTGCGTTGATGGTGATAAGCGCTGGATATTGCTGTTGTTATTGTTGTTGTTGTTGGTTGGTTGGTTATTTTCATAACCTCCGTCTTGTCTATGTTCACCTGGAGTTCTGTGTTCGCCGACTGCTTCTTCGACCAGTTTGTCGGTTTTCGCTTGCAAGTCTTCGACTTTGTATGATATCAAACATAAATCATACACCCGCGAAATCCAGGTCTTCCAGGTTCTTCACGTCGGTCCAGGATATCTATCCCTATCTTCTTGTTTCCCACTCAATGTCTGACACATAATCCAGTCAGTCCACCACAATTAGGAATATCATTCATTGATGATAATAAGCACTCTTGTCTGACTCCTGTGTTTACTCCATAATAATGAAAGCATGATTGTTGTTGATGACATTAGTTCTTTCTAAAGAATAACGTTGAATCATTTCGATAAGAATTCAAAAAGTTATTTGCAATTCGATTGTTAAGCGATTATAGTCCAGAATATATGTATGCGGTAGCACATAGAACCACAAGATAAGAAATCGAAGTGAATTTTCCCCGTTCAGTGGTCAATCTTCTATACATACTACACCAGTCTTCTTTGCATTTAAATTTGTACTACTCACTTCGTATAATTTGTGTGATATTTTACATTTCGCGTACCATTTAGTCACTCAGAAATAGTAGTTACCAGTTACCGTTGCAATTATGTTGAATGCACCTAATTCTTCCACAGCATTAAACTCATTCTTTTGTTCCCATTACTACGACGTTTGTATTCCCCCTTATGACAGTGGAAGCCAAGTGATTGTCAGATGTTTCAACTCGTCAGTTTGTGGTATGCTTTCGTGGAGGTTGTCGTTGTGAATGGTGATTGAAGCAGTAGGCTCACAAAATTATCCGGTAGAAAAAATTGTCACCGTGAGAGAAAAGTAAACTAGCAGGTTGTATTGACGGTCATATCCAATTGATCTCGTCTAGTGTGTCAACATTCTATTCGATTCTGGAGGAACTATCTTCATATAGTGAAAGGCTGTTGTCTGCACATATATATTCTGTTGAAGATTGTCTATTCGAAACTCCTTCTTCCTGAATAATACATTCGCGCGTTTGATTGCATTTCTGATCGTGATTGAATTGCACGTCCCATTCATTGTTTTCCAACAACTAATCCATCTTTTGGATGCCCATTCGGCTAGTTCAACAGATTGCAGCTGCAGTTAAAGAATGAACTCTATCTCAAATGCCCAAAACTTCGTCTCATCCGAATACAATGGAATTTCCTTCCGTGAAGCGTTGAATCGCGAAAATCCCCAGAAAATATTACGATATCATTCACGATAAACTATGAGCAAGTGGACAGCAGTATTTTCAAAGTAATCTCAGAATGGAAGTTGACAAAATATTCTTATGTTTCTGAGTACTATATCAGAAATAAAACTGCTCA